CCCCCCCATTTATATTCACTTTTAAAGAGACTGTTTCACAATATGTCGAATTGTTTTCCGAGTCCACAAGCTTTTCACTTCTTGTAGATGTCTGTTTCATGTCCCGTAAAGTGTGTTTAAACATTTCTGCAAGTGAGGCCTCTAAATGTGTCCTGAACACTTTACTAATCAGAACATAAAAGATGGGGTTGATACAGCTGTTAACAAAGGCCAGACTGGTTGAAATAGGCATGCCAATTCTTAGCCATTCGCCATATTCATTACTGTGATGGATTTTTAACTCCAGCAAACTAAATATGTGATAAGGAGTCCAGCAGATGAAAAATGCCACCACAACAGCCAGAACTACCCAGAAAAATTTGCTGTTGGCTTTTTTGTTTAGCTTCTTCAATTTGATGGTCAAGGTTGTGTAGCATATAATCATCGTTAGCAAAGGAAAAAGATACCCAATAAAGAACCTTATTAAGGTAAGGGATGTGTGAATCTTCATTATAATGGAATGATCACTTTCATGGAAATTATTGAAGCAAATGGTGGTCAGTTGGCTATCTTTTGCAATATCTCTAAAATACAGAGCTGGGCTTGCAATAATGGTGGCAGCTATCCATACCATCCCACTGACTATTCCAGCTTTGACCAGTGTTCGATGCTTCTGAGAAAAGTTTGGACAAACCAAAAAGATATACCTGTCAAAGCAGATTACAGTGAGAAAAAACACACTGGCAAACATGTTTAGAATTGCAATAAATGAATTGACTTTGCAAAGTATCTTCCCAAAAGGCCAGTGGAAGTCTGTAGCCACATACGTGATGTGTAGAGGCAAAAACAACACAAAGATTAAGTCTGCAATGGCCAGATTTAGGAACCACAGCGTGCTGACAGTTTTTTCCCATTTGAAACCAGTGAACCAGATAACCATGGAGTTTCCTGGTACCCCAAGTAGGAATGCCAGTGAGTAGATCACAATAGATGCAATATGGAGTGCTTGCGGCTCTGTTGCACCATGCGGTGCCTCATCCAAGTCGTAGTACTCATAGGTATAGTTTAGGAAGTCCAAATCTTGAAGGGAAGTCTCATTAAATGACAAGTTCATCCTTTACTTGAGCTTGGAAGCTAGAGAGAAATCAATGGAAAGTTTAAAATTCAATTTTAAAAAATCTATTAGCTTTACATTAACATACAGTTCTATGCATTGTAGGGCATTGTACAGTTATATTGTCTCTCCTATTAAGAACCAATATTCACTAGTATATAACTGGTCTTTATTAGACTGAGAGCCCATTCACATCTATTTGTTGTGGCAATGTGCATGTTACTTTGTTTTCCTGAAGAAGAAACCGGGGATGGTTCCAAACCTTTGCTGTACATTGTAAGACTACCTTGACTATGTCAATAAAGAAGAATTTACAAAATAAATTTTGGAGTGCCAGTGATTACTACGATTTTCGTGGATTGATTGGCAGCACCATCCGCTTTCACTGTTGCACCCACCCACAAGTGTGTAAGGGCTCCTTGCGCTCAGGAGAGCGATGGGACCCGTGCTGCAGAGATAAATGGCAAAGCACTATGTATGTGGTGCCATTCATTTTCAAAGGCAAATAAATGCAGTAAAGGAACACACCTTTGGTGCAGCTTACCACAAAGTATGGTAACTCACTACCATGCACTGTGGTGCGCAGCTTTGGAAAAAAAATGGTGCATGTCTAATTTTTGGTCCATTGTGGTGTGTTGGCAGCCCATTGAAACATATTGACTGCCCTAAAGAAAAACCGTGGAAAGGATTTTAACAATTGCTGTGAGGCTACCCCCACACTGGAAGGGTTATGTGCTCCTTTTTGTCTAGGTGCGAAAATAAAAAAGTTATGTTCACCTGATCCTTGGAGATGGCTGGCTGTTAGACTGGTTTCTCCAGCCACTCTCTCCCTCCACTCCAGTTGTCTGCAAGGCTCAGGTGAGTATAACTTTGCTAGTTTTGCACCTAGAGGAAAACAAGCACTTAACCCTTCCTGTGTGTAGAGGTAGCCCCACTGCAGGAGTTAAGAGAATTTTTTCTTTAATGCAACAAAATCTCTTCTTTAACACAATGCACTTTAATGCATGACATAATGTGCCTGAACGCCGCACCCCAACATACCTGATGTTTTGAGTCCTTACTGAAATTGCATACAGTAAAATAGAAGCCAATTCCTATACCTGGTGGAAAATTACATTATATTACATATTTTGTATTTTTCTGCCACACACAAACTTTGTCTATGGCGGGAATATAATGACATCAGAAGTGGTCATGGGGTGCTATGATTGGCTGATCCATCATGCACTGATGTATTTATGTTGTCTGTTCTGCACTTGTTGTATCACATAATTTTTTCTTATGAAGGGGATGCTGTGTCCTGCGTCAATAAAAGATCGGTTCTTCAGTAAAAAAAAAAAAGGCTATAATGTGATTACATGCACATGCATCAATAAAAGACATATTCTCCAGTCCTGCATCTACATATTATGTGACAGCGCCATCAGGTTGTCACCACTGCAGCCACTATGTCTAAGGAACTAGACGATTGAGAATGTGATGGGTTTATGGACTTTCATTGGAAAAAAGCATGATCCATGCCAAAAGATACCGGCCTGGCAATCCAGGCAAATGGATTAGTATCACCATTGATAAAGGGCTTCCATTTATTTATATAATACTAACTATGCTGGCAGCAGCCCATATGCTTTATACTAATTTTAAATTTTTGCAAGACCTCTCAAACCACTAGCATGATGTGTCTATGATAAAGCCTATCTGGTGGAGCGCGTGAGAGGCTATTGGATCTGTGTGGGATGATTTTTTTTAATGAACTGTCATATGTGCGGCACTAAGTTGGAATTGCACTGGCATGGTGCTACTATACTGTAACTATTAATATCTTATTTAAATAATAATCATTACTAAAATATAACCATGGTTTATGTTTAATGAATTATGTAGTATACCAATCAGAGCATGGTACATGGAAAATACATTATTCCATGGTTCAGTTATTACATCAATTCTGTATTAGATTCAGTCATTATGGAGCTGAAAACCTCACAATACATAAAGTTTCATCTTTAATAGGGGTTTTCCAAGAAGAGAAAGACCAGTGTGGTACAAGTGAAGACAAACTCTCCCTAAAAGTAGAACTTTGGGCAAACAGCAAAAATAAATATGTTTTCCATAATTCCAAGCATTGTCCACTAATTACCATTTGATTCTGTGAGCAAAATAATTTACCTTCCTTTTCCTTTAATAGGCCTATCAAAATAGTGCACGTTCCAAAACAGGCGAGGTTAAGGATATTAGAAATAATGTTGAAGAACTGTTGAAGAGGGTATGATGCAAAGGGGAGGTATGTAGAGGGTATGGCGGGTGGGTGTGCAGGAGAGAATGAGCAGAAAGTATGACAGGAGAGAGTATGTGCAGGAGAGGTGCTCAGTGGTATTCATGTGGGCAGTATGTGCAGGAGATGATTGCAGTGATATTACTGTGGGCATTATGTGCAGGAGAGGAGTGCAGTCAGGCCCGGATTTCCCACAAGGCCACCGAGGCCCGGCCTCGGGGCGGCAGAGCACACGGTGACCTTGTGGGGAAGTTGCGGTGTAAGGTGTCCCGGCGGCGGACCGTAGTGTGCAGCCGCCGTCCAATCACGACGGTCAAATAATTATAAAAATAAACAATAAAAAGATTAAAAAGTCTAAAAAAGTAAATTATAAAAAAGTAAAAAGATAAATACAAATCTAAAAAAAATTACATTTATTAAAAAATGTAATAAAAAAAATGTAATAAAAAAAATAAGAAGAAATAATTGAATAAAAAAATAAAAAGTGATACAAATAAAGAAATAGTAAAAAAATTGAAACTAGCCCCGCCCCAAGGCCAGGTTCCACAATACGCCCCCCCTCCACC